AAGTAGCTGGGATTACAGGCCTGTGCTGCCACACCTGGCTACTTGTTAAATAGTATATTCATATATGCATGCATGCATGAAAGTATATATATTTTTTGCACCTGTATAGGCACTGATCTTATATCCATTTTGTAGATGTGAAAAAAATTAACAAATAGTTGAAATAATATGGCAGGGTCACATAGATATATGAGTTCACATAGTTAATGGCAGATGTGTTACCAGTTCCCAGGTATCCAAAATCCCAATTTTACGCTTTGAATGCTTGTATTTATCCAACTATTGGTGTACCTTATTATCCACTGAGCTCCTTAACATTGTTAGGCTACGTCTCACTTGGCTTGAGGTGGTTATAAAATCTTAATTGTTTTTCAAAAACATAGGTCCTCGTGCTCCTGCCAACATTCAAGTCTCTTTTGACAGTGGGGCTCTGAAGGCATCTGTTTCATGGACACCGACCGAAGGAGCCTTCAACTATACTGTGATGGCTTTGAGTGGTTCTTCTGAGCGGAGCTGCAGTACAACTTTCAGTTCCTGCAGCATCTCTTCCCTCCAGTGTGGAACTGAGTACCTGATTTCGGTTTTAGCAAGTAATGATGCTGGATCTAGCAAGTCCTCTTCAGCAGGGACCCTGAAGACAGGTATGTAAACAAGAGTGAGAACCCTGCAGGGCTGGCGAGTCAAAAGTCCCTGACCATATTCCAGAACACTCTGGAAGCAGTCAAAACCAAAGCCTGGTCTAAATGAAAAAAGCACTGAGTTGGACATTCTCATGAGTTTGAATAAGGTGGATAGGGAAACCCGGTTTTGTGAATTTTGAAAAAGCACTGCTTTGAATATGTGGAGGCCTGGCTTTTATTCCAGATCTTCCATTAGTGAGTTTGTTTGTTTGTTTTTTTTCATTTTTATTATCTTATTTTTGAGACAGAATCTTGCTGTATTGCTCAGGCTGGCTGAATTCTTGGGCTCAAGTGACCATCCTGTCTCCGCTTTCTGGCTTCGTCTTCATTTTTAAAGAAGATCCAATTGGAGGGATTTTGTTTTTGTTTCTGTTTGGTACTGGAGATTACCCAAGAGTGTTTTGCCACTGAGCTACATTCTCACCCCTTTTTATTTTTTATTTTGAGACTTTTGAGACAAGATCTTGTTAAGTTGCCTAGAGCCTCATTAAGTTGCTTAGGCTGTCCTTAAACTTGAAATCCTCCTGCTCCAGCTTCCCAAATCATTGGGATTATAGGCATGTGTCACTGGGCCTGGCCAGCTGGAGTTATACACACAGCCCTAAATGTGAAATACAGACAACTGTCTCTTATTGACATTAAGTTTCATGACAGAGACTTGGTGGGAGATTTTTTTTTTCTTTTGGTACCAGAGATTAAACATTCAACCACGTTCAACCAGAGGCATTCAACCATTGAGCTACATCCCCACCTTTATTTTTTTTTATATATTTTATTTCCCTGAGTTGCTTATGACTTTGCTGGCTTTGACCTTGTGGTCCTCCTGCCTCAGCCTCCAAAGGTGGGAGATATTTTTAAAGATGAAGATATTTATAGTTCTGAACCCAAGTAGCTGATTTATAGGCCTGGATCACCATGCACAGCAAAATCCCCATATTTTAAAATGACTACCAAACTCTGACAGCCCATTATTTCTCTCATATAATGAGAGAATGTGAATAGGTCTTTGTGGTTTGCTGTAGCATAGACTTTTGTTCTCTAAGGAAAATCTTCTAACGTTTCTGGTACATAATTTTTCATATTGTACACCAAAAAATTCAATCTATTACAAAACTCATAGTTGCTGATTTGGGTTGTTCTTGGATAATTGCAAAGATGCAAAAAAAAAAAAAATCTCCTGCAATAGTCTTACAACTGGTTATTATTGATTACTTCTTAGTGGCTTGTGCACCTGGAAGAGTGATGATCCAAGAAGATCCCCCTGGCCATCTGTCTGTGGCTTGGTCCAATGTAGATCTGGGTGATTACTACGTGGCTTTTGTGAAGAGTGATGATGGCTGGGAAGTACACTGTAACACATCCACCACCCAGTGCAGCTTCTTATCTGAGTGTGGCTTCACTTACTTTATTAGCGTTTTTGCCTATAACAAGGCAGGGCAGAGTCCTTTGGGTGATGTATTCAATTATACAACAGGTAAGTCACATTTGATGTTTGTAAAGGGAGTCTGAGTTCACTAAACTCAGCAGCAGAGTAGGTCACCACCTGGGAATCATTCTAGAGCCAGGAATGCAAAATGAATGTTTTGTTTCATTCTTCCCAGACTCGGAAAATTTGACTTTGTGAACCCAAACTTTACAAAAATGCAAGGTTAGCTAGGTGTAGCACTCCATGCCTGTAATCTCAGGGACTTAGATTGCAAGTTCTAGGCCAGACTTGCCTGGGCAACTTAGCCAGATCCTGAAAAGCATATATAGCTCTAGCATGCTCTGAAAGTTGAATCGTCCACAAAGATCTAGTCACTGTACAGGCCTGGATGCTGAAGAGGAGGCAGCTCTCCATTTGAGGAGTTTACTCTGTTTCTGGGACCAGAGAGACAGATGCAATAGCCAAAATGCTACATGGTTTGGAAGGCTTTGGAGTACAACACCTGGTTTTAAGTTCTAACTCGACCATGCCAAGGGATGATGATGTCTACCTTGCTACTTCCTTAGTATCCTTCACTAAAAGTGGGACAAATAATAATAACATAAATGTGAAAAGGACTTTGTATGTAATAAAGCAGAATGCAAATATTTTCATGATCATGATTATTACCATGACTACTCTCCTCCACTAGGCTTGGAATTTGTATTGGGCACAGATTATGTTTTATTTATCTGTCACCAGTGCTTATCATAGTGTGATCAGCATAGGGGAGATGCTCAATTTTTGAAGAATGAATGGAGTTAACTTGGAATTAATTAACTATCTTTACAAATAAGAATAATATAGTTATATAAAATATTTGCTTGATTATAAAAAAAAATTTACCAGTTTGAGGGGTCCAAATAATTGGTGCTTTGGGAATTTGGAATTTGAAGTAAGCGGCTATCTTTAAGGTTCAAGAACACAGGAGGGACTTCCAAAAGGAGTGGCCTTGAGCTGGAGTTTAGAATGGCTGGAATGTAGGTGGGGCAAGAACTTCTCAGAGAAACCCCAATCCTAGTTAGACATTTGTTAGGCAGGCTTTTTAAGGTCTCTTCTAAGATTTACTAATACAATCATGCTCCCCTCTCCCACACCCCAGCTTTATCCGGTTTAGTGTCTGGAAAGAGTGATAGCATCTGAGAAGTTAGAATGACCTTGTTAGGCAGAAGAGGGGAAAGGCTTTCTTGTAGGGGGTTCACAGTCTTCAAGGCTCTTGTAGTGACAGCACAAAATAGAGTATTGAGAGGTCTGATATGTGTGGAGGGGGGGACATCTGAATATTATAGCTTGTAATGACCTTTAATGTCATACTGAGAATTTATCCTATATGCAGTGAGAGTTAGGCCAAAGTTGGAACTGAATGCATAACTGATTATTATTATTATTATCATCATCATCATCATCATCCCATCATCATTATTAATTTATTTTTTGGTACCAGGGATCCAACCCAGTGGTGCTTAGCCACTGAGCCACAATTCCCAGCCCTTTTTATTTTTTTATTTTGAGACAAGATCTGACTAAGTTGCTTAGGGCCATGCTATATTTCGGTAGCTGGCCTCAAACTTGTGATCCCCCTGCCTCAGCCTCCGAGTCACTGGGATTACAAGCATGTGCCACTGTGCCTGGCCATGTAACTGATTTAAAAAAATATATATTATTTTTAGATGTTGATGGATCTTTATTTTTATTTACTTATTTATATGTGGTGCTAAGAATCAAACCCAGTGCCTCACACATGCTAGGCAAGCACTCTATTGTTGAGCTACAACTCCAGCCCCCATGTAACTGATTTTTGAGCACACACACACAAAAAAAAATGGGTCTCTTTTCTCTCTTGAAATTATAGAACCAATAACAATATGGGGCACTGATTGAGCAGTGAAGGAGATTTGGTTCTTGGCCAGAAACAGAAGTGGGGGATAAACTCACAAATCAAGTTCTCATCCCTTGGGGGTCAGGAAGTTATAGGGTTAAAGAAATGAGGAGGAGGAATACTCATGTCTTTTTTCCTGAGGTTAGAGGTTGTCTAGTGGTCCCTCTGAGAGCCAGCTTAGATGCTCCAACTGGTGTTTCAGCCAGTCCTGCTGAAGAGGAATTTCTGGCCTTCGGGCAAGAAAAACTAGAGCATAGTAAAAATTCTGTTAGGTCACCCAGCAGAACAGGACCGGGAACACGGTAGGGTAGATGACAAACACACCTGTCGGAGGATATTGCAGTAGTGTAGGAGTATGGTGACAAAGGCTGTGGCCTTGAGGAAGTCAGGCCTCGAGGACCCCCTCTGGTGGCATTGCTCCTGCATTGACCTCGTTCCCTCGGGGCTCCTCCTTTCAGCTCCCTGTTGTCCTAGTGACATTAACCCAGTGCTGGTGTCCAGCGAGAGAGTAGAGATGGTCTGGTCTCCTGTCCGTGGTGCCGAACTCTACGAAACCAAGGCTGTGGCTGGGTCCAACGTGGTAGAGTGCAACGACACCGCCCCTGCTTGCACTCTCTCAGCTCTGGAGTGTGACACCAAGTACAGCATCACGGTATATTCCTTCAGTGAAGTCCGGGGCATCAACATGTCATGCCGTTCACGCTTTATCACCACAGGTATGGGAGAGCTCTGCTTTCATTCACTGCAGCTGCGTGCCGCAGCACAGCCACTCAGCAAGACCTAAAATCCCACTAACCGCTGTTTGTAGGGACCAGTAGACTTCCTAACTGTATTAAGAAGAGATGGAAGAGAAAGTGGAAGAGGAAGGTGGGGGAAGGGAAACAAAAGGAGACCCCAGGGAGAGAAGGTTTTGCCAATGACTATCTCTGCCATTCAGTTCTTTCTGCCTTTGAGGGATGTGCCTGTCCATACACCCGTGGTGTACAGGGAGGGTTTGTCTTACTTTTGATTTCAGAATTAAAAATGCTCTTAAACCTCTTCCAGTTGATTCTACACTCTAAAAACCCAATACCCTATGACAGTGTCAACAGTTTTCCACACAGTCTCTAGAAATTTGGTCTATGTGCAAGATATTTTTGAAAACTATGATGGTAGGATGTTGTTATTGTTGTTGTTGTTGTTGGTGGTGGTGGTGGTGGTGGTGGGGTGTGTGTGTGTGTGTGTGTGTGTGTGTGTGTGTATGGTGCTGGGGATTGAATCCTGAGGTCTCTACCACTGAGCTACATCCCCAGCTCTTTTTATTCTTTATTTTGAGGCGTAATGTAGTCTCATTAAGTTGCTTATAGGTTAGCCTTGAACTTGGGATCCTCCTGCCCCATCCCAAATCACTGGAATTACAGTGTGTGCTATGCCCAGCCTGTTAATTTTACTGCGGGGCAGGGGGGAATCCTATTTTTTTCCAGTAGCAGGGAATTGAACCCAGAAGAACTTAACCACTGAGCCACATCCCCAGCTTTCTTTAAATTTTATCTTGAGACAGGGTCTCACTAAGTTGCTTAGAGCTTTGCTAAGTTGCTGGGGTTGGCCTTGAACTGTGATCCTCCTGCCTCAGCCTCCGGAGACACTGGGATCATAGGAGTGTTCCGCAGTGCCTGGCAAAAAATTAATTTTAGACTAAATAACACATGTATCCCCTTTTCAGTCTCCCAACCGGCAGGCTGGAACCCAGGGTGCACTCTACCACTGAGCTACATCCCCAGCTCTTTTTATTCTTTATTTTGAGACTGAGACTCATTAAGTTTCTTAGGCTGGCCTTGAACTTGTTGTTCTTCTGCCTCAGCCTCCCAAATCAATGGGATTATAGGCCTGCACCACCAGACCCAGTCCACTTGTGACACTTTTGACTCAAGCTGTTTCACTTAATAATTTTAAATTTCTAGGTCCTTGCAGTCCTGAAATAATAAATATTTCCAAGGATGCCTTCTCCATGATTCATGTGCACTGGCGATCCACCAACAACGATGCCACTTACACAGTGACTGCCCAGGGGGAGAAGGGACTGTATCAATGCAGCAGCACAGGAGAGTCCTGTACCCTGGGAGACCTGCCCTGTGGCTCAGTGTTCTCGGTCACTGCTGTGGCCGAAACACAGGCAGGATGGAGTCTGCCCAGCTACAGCATGCCCCTGGAAACAGGTATGTAGCAACCACCAGCTCAAATGCTGACTTCAGGAGGTCTCTAGGACATGTTTTAAGACATGGACTTTATTTTCTACCCTGCATATGATGTAAATGCAGTACACTTAGAACTCTTTTCAAGAGTCCCAGACTTTAAAAATCAAACTTTCAACATTTTATATGCTCTGTAAAAATACCATCAAAAGACTCTAGAATCATCTTACATTTGGCATCAAAGGAGCAATGCATTGACTCTACAGAAACATTTATTAGAATTTATATTCTCTCCAGGTACAATCTGTCAAAACAGCTAACAAGTAACCAAATGAACTGATTTATTTTTTGTCTCTTTAGTTGGGCTCTTTTATATCTTTCTCTAAAAAATGCTTTCTGAGTTTCAGTTGCCTTATCAGTAAGAGGGGGATAATAGCCTTAGATGGTTGTGTGTATTAAATTAATGGTGCAGAGCACTCAGCATATGACCTAATCAAAGTAAAATCTCCATAAAAGGAAAGTGCTATTGCTGGGCACAGCAGCACAGACCTGTAATCTCAGCAACTCAATAGGCAGAGGCGGAAGGATCACAAGTTCAAGGTCAGCCTAAGTAACTTAGTGAGACCCTATCTCAAAATAAAATATAAAAAAGGCTGAAGACGTAACTCAGTGGTACGCCCCTGAATTCTATCCCAGTACAAAAGAAGAAAGTTTCTATGTCTTATATAAAGGGTCTCTGAAAAATTGAAAAATTGAGATGACATGGTATCTTAGGAGGCTAAAAAATCTAAAAAAATCAAGTTTTTTTTTTTTTTTTTTTTTTTTCTAATTTCAGGGCATGGGGGGTGGTGTTGGTGCCAGGGATCAAATCTTAGGTAAGTACTCTACCACGGAGCCATAACCCCAGTGCAGGAAATCAAGTTTTTATATCAGTAATGTACTACAAAGTGCTCAGGAAAAGCAAAATACATTTTCTTGCAAATGCTATAAGGTGTTCTACTGGGAAAAGAGGTGAATGGATCCATTGCTTTGCAGTCTGTATCTAGAATTTCTCATGTTGAGGAACAAAAGGGATTATTCTGAAAGAAAAGGGAAAACCTCACACTAATCACAGCCTGTTAGCGCTCTGCATTCTTGGGGAAAGTACTCATTACAAAGAGTTGATGTTACAAGATGTAACAGAGGGTATGACCCATGGAAAATTTTGGTTAACAATAGTAAGCTTGAGAAATTTAAGATATTGAGTGAAATGCAGACAAAGTACAATTATTAGTTGTTTTTCACAAAATCATCTTCAGTGGAAATAAAACCTAATTCTTTCTCTCTTTCCCCACTTAAGTGCCATGCTGTCCAACTGGCATGACAGTAACTCAGGTCACCCAATCAGTAATCAATGTGAGCTGGACTATTGGGATGGCAGCTCAAACCTACGTGACAGTTCTGGAATCACACATTGGACAGTCTAAGTGTCATACCCATCAAAGTCACTGCCTCCTGGGGTGTATCACATGTGGCATCAACTACACAGTAGCATTAAAAGCAATTAGTGCCACTGGGTTGACTGCAGACTGCGCCTACCAAAGTTATTCCTCTAGTAAGTGAATTCTTTTTTTAAAAAAAATTATACAATTTATATAAATCAATGGTGCTCAGCAAGATAAAATAAATATGTGTCTATGATGTATTAATGATTCATTGGCTATGCTGATTATTCAGTTTCTACCTAAGTTTCCAGGGGTATTCATTATTGTTATAGAGAGGGAATATTTTTATACAAGAACTATGCTTGCAGTGCAGTTTACATTTTGTAAATTTCTGGAGGAGAATGAAATAAGAATCTCTTATTGACTGGGATTAATCTGAGTTTCTCTTCCCATTCTGCCTCTCTTCTTTATTTTGAATGATACACAGATACCAATGAACTCAAACACCACACTATAGTAAGTAAATAAATTCTCAATTCTACTACTGGAGTATCAGTGAGGACTCAGCACTTCCAGAGCCAGGCACAACCCTTCCTTCTCATTTAAAAAGATGCTGCATCTCTACCCGGTTTGCATTATAAATGCAGATTACTTTCTAAAATGTTTATAGTTTCCCCTTGACCTCAGAGCTTCAGATGCTTCTGTGGGTAGTTGGTGAATTGCCTCTTCTGCTGACCACCTTCAGGTGCATGTTTTCTGAAGGAATGACATATTTTTATGACATAAAGACTTGCAGCTGAAAGTAACTCAGGATGGCAGAGTTTTCAGTAAGCAGTAGATCATACATTCTATTTGGTTTGCATTATTTTCTTATTTTTCTTATTTTCTATTATGCTACCACCTCTCTCTCTTCTAAACCACTCTAGCTCCTCCCATGATTTTGTATTTCGACAGGCTAAGATAGCAAAAATATCTGTCTACTGACAATTTTGTTACTTATCATCAGAAGGATCAAACCATCAGGGAATAACAGGGGGAAGTAAAAATGGTTCATTAAGATTCATAATTCACTTAAGTGGCTGCTTGGAGGGAAAACTCTTTGAAAAACTCCTGAGGATGCCTTCCTGGCCTGAGGAAAAAAAAAAAGAGTACCATGATCAATTAATTATGTCTGCCTGGGGCATGGGATAGGAAGGTTGAAATGTAATTTTGGCATCTCAGAGATAATAGAAAAAGTCTTCAACAGGGAGTCTACATAAACATGATTTCTGATAAGCTGTGTTGGCCTTATCTTCCAGGCATCCTCACTGGTAAGAAAAAATAAAAATTAGCCAGGCACAGTGGCACACAACTGTAATCCCAGCTGTTCAGGAGTCTGAGGCAGGAAGATTGCAAGTTCGAGGCCAGCCTCAGCAACTTATGAGACCCTGTTTCTATAAAACAATAAAAAGGGATAGAGATGTGGCTCAGTGGTTAAGTGCCCCTGGGTTCAATTCTGATACCAAATAATAATAATAATAATAATAGAATTATTCTAGCTTATTCCTTAAAGTTGTTTTGAGAATCAAATCATAATATGAAAGCATGTGCAGTATGCTTCAATTTATGTTAGCTGGATTATACTTTGTTTTGACCATCTTCCATTAATTTCATTAATTAGTTTTGGGAATATGGCCCATTGCTTATCTTCACACCTGAAAAAAATCCTTTTGAAGAATAAATCAAATGAGACTGCTTATCTGTAACAACTTTTACAAAACATACAATAGCCTCTTGTGCCCTCATCAACATCTAAGGTGTGGCCTGCTCAAGGATTTTAAGAAAAGATCAAAAAAGTGCCTAATCAGCTTAGCATGGATGAAATATGGACCAACCAACCTGGCTACCAGCCTGTCATGTAAGAGGCTGCTCCCAAAGTGTCATGCCACTCAGCTCAGCAAAATATTGTTTTTCAACTAGAGATGAATGCAATGAATTATATTTAAACTTTGTTCCACTAAAATCAAATGAAACTGGGACCCATTATCTTGACAGGGATCTTAATAGGATTCTGGGCATTTGACTCATAGTTTGAGTCACGTACAATACAGCGTATCTCTGCCAAGTGTGGAACTTTTTGAATCACCATTGTTTTATGTTAAAAATTCATACCGCATACCACCCTCACACACAGATTTCTGATCATGTGGCTCAGCATTAGAAGAACTTCAACATCCCTTCAAATCTTGCTCTATTCTATTCAGTAACTAATCATATTATTTGGAATAGTTTACTTGCATTTTTTCCCCCCTGAGTAATAAAGGCCATGTTTGTGTGTGATGATAGAATAAGTGACTTTGTATTTAATTTTATCCTGCAGATGCCTGCTGCCCTTTGGGGGTGAAATTATATAGGCTGGGGCCTAATGGCATCCGGATCTACTGGCAAGCCTCCAGGGGTTCTGCCAACTACAGCACTGACCTCTATGGCTCCAAAGGCATTTTCACATGCACCCCAAGTGCTGGCTTGAGTTTTTGTGATGTTACTGAAATACCCTGCGGGGATGTATATACTGTGGTGGTCTCACCCGTTGCTGAAACAGGATTGAAGCTTACTTTTTGCCCCAAAAAAATATATTCAGGTAAAGCAAGTTATGACCCTTTATTGAACCCTCAACTCAGATCTGTGAATCATTTGCTACCTGTGAAATTTCTACACGCTTCAAGGGACCCCCGAGCAATTTTTGGAATTGTGGTCTTCTTCAATTTGAAGTGCTCTTCCCTTCTCAGTCTCTGTCTTACTCTTCAGGGAAAACACCAGATGCTTGTTGCTTAAATAGTAAAGAAAATTCAAAAAGATTTAAGATTAGGGGATAATTTTAACATGTTCTTAGAGATGAGGCTAGATACCCTGGTATGTTGAAAATTAAGAAACTTGAACTTTCAATTGCACAGATTGAGAATTCTGACTGAGGAAAAGTTGGAAGATCAGGAAAGAAAATGAATTTATAAGTTGTAAACTAGGTTTGGATATATGAGTGGGCAGACAATCTGATCACAAAATGTGGCAATCAGTGATGCCATCATTTCCACCCTCGTCGGCGGAAAGACATTACAATTCTCCAGCACTCAGTTCCAGCAAACTCTGCTACCTTGCCCAGGGCACAGTCATATATTTTTCACACATTTCTAGAAGAAAAGAAAAGAAATGATGAAGCCCAGGCTTCACAGGCAAAAACAAGACGAGGAATACATGGTTCCCAAACCTTTACTGATACCCAGAATTCAAATTTTCCAATTAAAAGTAGGTGGTGACAAGAAGTCTGAGATGGCTCCTGGTGATGGAACAAGGCCAGCTCCTCCTGAAAGGGTGTTCTCACTGTCCTTGGATGTCACGCTCTGATTCCTTGTTTTTTCATTATCTTTTCCCCAAGACAAGCTGGCCCAAGGCAGGGAAGAGATAGGAACAGGTTCTTGGGGTAAGGGTGAGCTCTTTGGAAGAGGAGCCCAATAACAATAGGAGCTCAATAACAATACTTCATCGATTTGAATAATGATTTACAGTTTATCAAGTGTTTTCACATTCCATATCTCAGTGAATGATCAAAATGTTCCTGAGAGGTTCAATGGATTTTATTGTCTCCAATTATGAGGAAACCAGTGCAGAGGCTACTGAAGCTTCATCTGCAACCCTTCTCTTTTCCTAATCTCTAAATTCATCTTTACATATTTTTAATTTGTTTAGGATTTAACACCTTTTTTTCTTCTGAGTCAGGGTCTCATTCTGTTCCCTAAGTTGCCCTCAAATTCCTGGGCCCAACTGATCCTCCTGCTGAGAAGCCTTCTGAGTGCTGGGACTACAAGGATGTTCCTGGCCCAGTTGTCTTATGATTCACTATCTTAAAAAGGTTTTTCATTGCTCTGTAGGATGAAATCTGATCCTCTAAGCATGGTGTTCAAGATCTTTCATGCTCTTTTTCTTATTTGTCTATATACATCTTCATTGTCCAGTAGTAATTTATTGTGAATCATGAATGAAAATTTAAAATTTTCTAGTAGCCACATTGAGAAAGTAAAATGAAACACGTAAAATTAATAATGCATTTTAGTTAAGCCAATGTGTCTGAAATATTCTAATATCTAATCAATGTGAAAATTAAGATATTTTACCTTTTTTTATACATCTGGTGTATGTTTTATGCATATAGCACATCTCAGTTCAGATTAGCCACATTTCCAGTACTCAATAGCTATGTGGTGGGTAGCTACTACTATTTGGGTAGGCTCATTCCCCAGCACTCCTCCTGAGAGGATTCCTTTTTTTTTTTTTTTAATGTTTTATTAGTTATTGATGGACCTTTATTTATTTATTTGTGGTGCTGAAAATCGAACCCAGTATCTCACACATTCGAGGCAAGTGCTCTACCACTGAGCCACAACCCCACCCCCTCCTCCTGAGAGGATTCTATTCTCTAGTCTTATGGCATGGAATCATTCACACATGCCTGCCCCCAACACACATATAGACCATGCTATATCATGTTTCTGAGTAAATGCGGTACTCTTCTCTTTGTCCAGAAGAGCATTCTACTCCATCCCCATCCAGAAAACAGCCCAAATTTTCTGTTGACCTTCTCCACTTCTCATAGGCCAAGTTAGTGTTGTCCCTTTCTTGTTTATGACCTCAAGGCACCCTTATATTTACCACAGCATATGACTGTGACTTGAATGTGTGCCATATCCCTTAATAAATGATCTCTCTGACTCTTAGTATTTACTTAGCATATAACTGTTGCTCAATATGTTTTAAATTAAAAAAGAATGAACAAGCCAATTGAGGCACCCACGATCACACAGCTAAGTGAATGAGTAATGAAATCCTTTTGTTTTTTATTTTGTTTTCCTGATCCAGGCTTGCAAGTCAACCCTTAGAGACTCACTCCTCTGATGGTTTGTTAGCTGCCAGAAGTCCTTGTTAGAACTCTTTGGTGGGGTGTCATCTCAAGCCTGCTGCCATTTCACCTTAATAAGGACCTAGAATCTGGTTAGGAAATTCACCTTTTCTCAGTCTTTCTGGAAAGAAAACAAAATAAAACAAAACAAAACTAAGTTTCCTCGTTTATTGCAGTATCAGTGATGCCTTATTCTGATAATCAGGACAGTATCATAAATGAAGTAATAAATGCTGAGTGTTTTGTTCCAAGAACAATATTTTATGTGTATTAATTCCATTAACCCTTATAATAAACCTGTGAGGTTGGCATTCTTATTCTTATTCACTTTACCGATAAACTGAGACACTTGCACACACAAACTGAAGTGACTTGCCCAAGGTCATAGTGCTAATAGGTATCTCCTCTTATCACCCAAATTTCTTCTTATTCATTCTTTGGTTCACTTTCCTCTTATTTTTTCTTAACTTATGTCTTTTTAAAAATTTTACATCTTCTTAAATACATCAAGGAATGTATTTTCAGTGTTTGTGTTTTTATTTACAGTAACCTGCTCTGGAAGTACCCTTGGAATGGGTAAGTCATTTTTCTCATGAATAAAACAGAGGGACTTTTTGTTATTGCATTTGGGTGACTTAATGAAATCAGGGTCAAAGGTGATGCTCCAATTAGTTAGGCAAATGATGATTTCTTTCTTTGATGCAAGAGTGTCCTGCCCTCCCCTCCCGTCACATTTTCTTTCCCATTATACTGCCCTTCGGTTCCACCAATTGAAGTGAATTCCTTTGGATTCTGGACTCTGAAGTCTTCTGGGGTCCCCCAGAAAAACGCAAAAGTTTTTTGGAGGGTCTGCTCCCTTAATCTCTCCTACTTTAAAAGATTGTTCTCTTCCCTGCTGTACATTGGAATCCTTGGAGGGCTTAACATTAACTGAAGCCTGGGCTCTCTTTCTAGAAAGTCTGATTCAATTGGTAGGAAGTGGAGGCTGGGCAGCAGGACTTTTTTCCTTCGGTGGTACTGGGAGTTGAACCTAAGAGCACTTTACCTACTGAGCTGCATCCTCAGGCCTTTTTGTTATTTAAAAATTTTGAGACTGGGTCTTGCTAAATTGCTGAGACTCTTGCTAAATTGCTGAGGTTGGCCTCAAACTTGTGATCCTGCTGCCTCAGCTTCCCAAATTGCTGGAGTTAAAGGCATGTATTATTGTGCCTAGCTGGATATCAGAATTTTTAAAAGCTTTTTAAGTGATTCTAAAGTGTAGTCAAGACTGAGAACTGCTGCTTTAGAGCAGTTTTTGTTTTTGTTTTTTTGGTACTGGAGATGGAACCCAGGGGTGCTTTCTCACTGAGCTACATTCCAGCCCTTGTTTTAATTGTTTTGAGACAGGGTCTTGCTAAGTTGCTTAGGGCCTTACCAAGTTGCTGAAACTGGTCTTGAATTTGCAATTCTCCTGCCTCGGCCTCCTGAGTTTGACAGGTGTGCACCACTGTGCCCAGCTTTCCCAAACTTTTATGTATACAAATCACCTTGGCCTTGTTAAAGTCAGATTCTGATTTGTTAGGTATGGAAGGGTGCAAGACTTTGCATTGCTAACAAAATTCAGGGCATGCTGGTGATACCCATGCTATTGTTCTGACAGACTTTTAGTCATCAGATGGGAATTTGTTAATAGCCTGCAGAGAGCTAGATGTTTTGCATGGGTGGTATTCCCCAGTGGAGAAAAGGAGATGTTGAAAGGGAGTTGGAATAAAGACAACCCTCAGTGCCTTTACACTTTTGCTCAGGGCTGATGCTGTTTAGGACATTTTGGTTGCCCCCATGAAGTTACTCTTGGGTAGGACAGTGGAAGATGATCACACACACACAGTCCTGGGCGCTGGCCAGGTAGCATAAACTGCTTCATGAGGAATCTTTGCCACAGCTTGCCGTGGGACCTTAGGAAAACCCCTCAGGGAATATAATCAATTCCAAAATACAAATTCTCCTGATCCCAGTCAGATAAGGCTGGCTTCAGAGGGTGTGAGTGGAAATGAAGCCTCCCTGCCAACAAGCAACAGAGGACAGCTTCCCAGTGGTGGTCAACTCTCCACCCAACACCTTCCATTGCCAGGGCCTGGGTGGTCCAGAGTCTCTCTCCATTGCCTGTCCTCTGCCTGGGCTCCTTTTCTTCTCCCAGCCCATTGCTTCTCTGAGCACAGCAGTGCACATACTTTCCAATTCCTGACCCACCTGCAGGTCTAAAATAAGCACAATCCCTATTAATTTTTCAAGACTTTTTGTTTCCCATAGTTATAGAGAAATAGGTCTGGCTTAGTGAAAACAAACTGAGGAAACAACTAGTTATAAGAAATTGCTTTAGGGATTGTGGATGTAGCTCAGTAATAGAGCATGTGCTTACCATGTGCAAGGCCCTGGGTTCAATTCCTAGTGCATCCACCAGAAAAAAAAAAAAAAAAAAAAAAAGCTGGGCACAGTGATACATGCCTGTAATCCCAAACACTTGGGAGGCTGAGGCAGGAGGATGGCAAGTTCAAGGCCAGCTTCAACTATTTAGTGAGGCCCTAGCAACTTAATAAGAACCTATCCCAAAATAAAAAATAAAAAGGGCTAGGGATGTAGCTCAGTGGTACTGGGGATTGAGTTCAATCCCCAGTGCAGCAAAATGCAAATCAAATTTCATTACACCTAAGCATTGCTACTCATCAGCATTCCCAGAGAGTTTACATGCTCAGGCCCCACTCTGACCTAACTAATCCTTAGGTATTTGTATGTGTATTCAAGTCTGAAAAGGCCTGCTTAGGTAGTAGTTCTTAAACTTTGGTGTGTATCAGAATCTTAAAAAAAAAAAACTAATAAGAAATACAGGGGTCCAGGCCCTATGCCCACTGAAATGCTGCTGTATTTTTATTTTCTTTTTGAACCTCATGATTTTACTGTCTTAATAAGAAAATGAAAAATGAAGCTTAGAACTGGATCACTTGGCCTTTCTCTTCTTATTTCCCACCAGTTCAGCCTCCAGCACAACCTTCTCCATGGTTTTAGTATTTGCAGGGGGCGGGGGCATCGGTTTAGTCTGCCCACCATAGCCACTGTTTTCCCTTTTCATATGGAGAATTCTTGCTTTCTTGTTCTGTGTTGCTTTATGGTTTGGTGCTTGCCATACTTCCTACAGTATGCCTGGTGGGTTTTAGGAACATTTAGGATGATTGCAAGAGTATTAGCATTGCAGAAAGCACTGCTGTATTTTCTAGCACATTCCTAGGTGATTCTGACCTACACAAAGTTTGAAAAGTGCTGCTGAAGATCACCACTCTTCTCTCTTCTGTGTCTTTGGGCTGCAACTTATCCTTGCAAGTCTGTCATCAACCTGAAATAGGCCCTTCTCATGAAGTAAATCCTTGTAGAAATCCTGCAAGATCTTTAAAGACCTTTAAGCCAGGTCCTTTGAAGACCTCTATAATCATATGGAAATTGTTATATATAGGAGGAAGTTCTAAATTGCTATCTCCAGTTTTAGTATTCTCCCTGTACACACAACAAGTCAAATCATAACCCTGGCTTATGTGGAGCCTCTGGATGTGATCTGGGGAGCCTCGGGAATGTTTCTGGTCTAAGACTTTTGGTCTTCCTTGACTCCTGGATTATCCTAAAGCTTGTCACCTGCATGAATTGACTTTCTAAGAGACAGATCTAGATTCAAATTCTGCTGATATTATTTTATATTTACATATATATTATATCAAATTGCCTCAGTTCTCTCTAAGCCCATGTTTTCTCAACTGAAAATTGGAATAAATCATAATCATTTCATAAAACCTAATGAGAATTAAATGAAATGTAACTTACTAGATACAGTGCTCATCGTAAGTAACTAATAAATGGTAGTTACTAATTCAGAATCAATTTAAGCTCGTATCATACTCTATTATAGTATGTGCCAGTTATTAAGATTTTAACATGCTACTCTTAACTAAGGTAATTATATTTTAACCTAAGCCCTCATAATATTCTCATAACACCTTAACTCATTTATTCACAAAGTGTGGTCCTGGGGCCAACAACATCATCGTCATCATCTGAAAAGCTTTCAGAAATGAAATTTCTGGGTTTCCCCCAAAGACGTACTGAATCAAAAATTCTGGAGCTGGGTCCAGTCATCTTTGTTTTAACAAGTCCTTCAGGTGATTCTGATACAACTTAAAGTTTGAAAACCACAGCTCAGGAAAGTTACTTTGGTACTGAAAATTAGACGCATCTTGAAAGGAAGAGGAAAATAACCTATTTGAAGTAAAAAGTGAAGGGTTTGTGTCTGACATCACCCCATGGGGCATCCTTTATTGTCACCATGTGGGTGTCACCTGTGCATCCTGGGGAAACTTTGAGGAATATTTTTGTCTATAACTGCTTAGCAGTTGGACAGGTTTATGTTCCCCTTGCACAACTCCCTGAATGAATGAAATATTGGGGCTCCCTGTGGAACACAGCCATTTGGCCTGTGGATGGAAGAAAGTTCCTTGTCGTGAGCCAGTAGTATGAGTTCAAAAAGACTCTTCAGATGTATTTGTTTCATAAAGCCAGAGAGATCACCCTGGTTAGTCGGAAATTGCTGGTGAGTTTGAACACTTTGCCTTTTGAACAGTCAGATTGTCTCAGTTTCCTCCTTACTAGCTGTGAATTGCTGCATTTCAAATCAAAACACAAATAAAACCTCAGTGACATTTGTGCTCTTTAGTTTAAAAAAATGTCTGCATATTTAATGTGTCTTACTGCTTCTTTCCTTCCTGTCCTTTCCAGTGATTTACAGAGGGAAGAGGAATGCAGAATGATACAGTAAGTCCCAGATAAAAACAGAGACTTGACCAAGTGAGTAATGTAAATTGATTTGGTGAGAATCCACAGCAAACTTTTGTGTTTATTTAAAAAATTCTTCCCATTTCTTTGTTGCAGAGTCGTTTCAACTGTTAGAGATGGAAAAGATCTATTAGAATATTAAATTCCTCTAGGATAGATAAAGCTCTTCTGGCCTTTACAAAAGTAACTCTGACTGCTTCTTGAGGGCAAGGTCAGGTGTGTCATCACCTGCAGAGGAATTCAATGTCAGCTGTGGAGAGGACTCTGGAGATAAGGATCCAGAAATTCCTCTGGAAGGCTGCCAGAGTGCACCAGAAGCATAAAAGAGCCCTGGAAGCATAAAAGCTCTATTTAGCAGAAATTCAGTGATTTCCCATCCAGACACACCATAGATTTCAATATGTCCACTTCAGTGTTTCATCAACACCAGCACTTGCCATGCAGCCCCCTAGCAATTCAGGGGCTAGAAACATTCACTTCCAGAGAAGTCAAGCCACCTACGTAAGGACAGCATTCATCCCAGAACAAACCTCCATCAGGACTTCAGCTTAGGTTGGATAGCAGCAGCTTTCAGGGCAAGCTGTGGTAACAAATGCCCTTATTGCAAGTTAGGAGAGAGGCTGAGCTGCTTACAGGGTTTGCTGAGCCAAACCGTCACATGATTTGACATCTGTGGAAGCATCTGGGAAAGCAGAGCTCCTGGGCTGTTGCAAGAAGGATTTTGATCATGCTTTCTGAGTGAGCAAAGATGTCAGATGGAGCAGCAGCCAACGGCAGAGACTCAAACTGTGACAGAATGACACCGACATATCTTTTCGGGGGAGTAACATCAATCCTGTTGGCTGTGTTCCCCACTCACATTGTAACTGCTTTTTTTTTTCATCTTTGGAGGAGAAAGTCTATGGTATAGAACATAAATCTCTTGTACCTAGAAAAATGTTTGTCCTTTTAATGTCTGTCACTTAATTAAAAAACAGTGTGAGTAGAACTTGTATAACACACATATGCACACAACTAATGTTTACTCCCCAAAAGCATGGCTATGGTTGGGAAAGAATGTCTATGGTTGGGAACAACCATAAAACACTGCCCAGACCAGGCATGGTGGTGCACACCCGTAATCCTAGCGGCTTGGGAGACTGAGGCAGGAGGATCATGAGTTCAAAGCCGGCCTCAGCAGCAGCGAGGCACTAAGCAACTCGGTGAAACCCTGTCTTTAAATGAAATACAAAAAAGAGCTGAAGATGTGTCTTAGTGGTTGAGTGTCCCAGAATCCAATCCCCTGTAACCTCTCCTCCCCCCCAAAAAAAAAATCACCACTGCCCAGAGGAAGTTGGGAGTATGGAGTTAGCACTGAAGAAAGGTAAACTTCCTTCCCTATGTCTCCTTTCCCTTTCTTTTTTATGGGGGGGGGAGTGGGGGGCGGGAGGGGTACCAGGGATTGTACTAAGGGGCGCTCAGCCACTGAGCCACATCCCCAGCCCTATTTTGTATTTTTTTTTTAGAGACAAGGTTAGTTCCTTAGCCCCTTGCCATTGCTGAGGCTGGCTTTGAACTCTTTTTTTTTTTTTTTTTTTAGATATATTTTTGAGAGAGAGAGGAGAGAGAGAGAGAATTTTATTTATTTTTTTGTTTTTCAGTGGACACAACATCTTTGTTTGTATGTGGTGTTGAGGATCGAACCCGGGCCACACACATGCCAGGTGAGTGCGCTACCACTTGAGCCACATCCCCAACCCTGGCTTTGAACTCTTGATCCTCCTGCCTCAGCATTCAGAGCTGCTGGGATTACAGGCGTGCACCACTGTGCCCGATTCTCCTTTCCCTTTCTGAATTAACCTATCAAAACTAAGGGAGAAGGTGACATCCTTTTTCTGAAAGACTAGTTAGAGATATATAATGTATCAATGATAAGAGATTGTCACTATCTATCCTAGCTGGTGACCTAATGCTGGGTTCACAAAATCTGACTATTCCAGTAACTCAAGAAAATGACAAAGAAAGCATGCAACCACACAGAAATATCTTTTCTGTAATCCGGAGATGGCTCTTCGACCTTAAGTGTCCTTGGAAAGAGAGAGAGCCACTGGAATTCTTTATTCTCATATAGAGAACACACAAGGGGAGTTTCCATGGAACATTCTATCCCCAAAAGGGCAAAGGGGTCAGGTTTCAGGGAGTTGAGTCTAGCTTCTTGACGTCTGCTGTCAGCAGATTGGCTGACATCTAGGAAGGCCATGCCCATCTCATGAGCTGTGTGGGCATCATAGGCAGAGCCAGCAAAAAGACCATAGTGAGGACTGCCCAAACAGAGAGGTAATGTCGGTTCAGACCACTTTGTTCTCTCACTGCTGATAGTTCACACACACAGCCCATGGCTGGCTTGCGACATCTCCACATTCTCATCACTTAGGGCTAAGGGATGCTCAGTTCCTATGTGGCAGCCCCGACAAGAGATCTTTCCTAGAGCATTTATTTGCACATTAAAGGGAAACAAGTCAAAGGCAATGACCCCTAAAAGTGGAGTTTGATGCATCGAAGAGCACACATAGAGGAGGATTGAGTTTAGTTCACTTTTGTTCCTAAACACTAGTGAGTGAACAGGAGGTGGGTTGGGCTAGGTCCGAGAGCTCATTACTCATAGATTCCTGGGAATCACCCCTGGAGGTTCAAATTCACTATATCTGGGATGTGGCCTGGGAATCCATACCTTTAAGGCCTGGGATTCCATATTTTTAACAAGTTCACCAAGTGATTCTGATTAGCCAGGTTTGGGAATTATTAGTTTTTCAGTGCTGGGAAGCAAACCCCAGGCTTTAGGCATGCTAGGCAAGCAATCAATCATTGAGCTACTTTCCATCAGAAGTTTGCCATGGTAAGCTCTTCCTTGAAGCAAAATTTTAGTGATGGGAGGCTGGTAAAATAGAGGCCTGTGCCCTGTGATGAAAGACTGGTGAGATCTGGAGGATTTGGAGAAGTCCCATACCCTGTAAGTGCAACCCTGATGGTATAGAACTGGGGCTGTGTGGTCCAGATCCCACTGAAACCATGTACTGAGCCAGTCACTAGCAAAGTATGCTGACTGAAGTAGCCAAAGAGCCCAGGCAAAGGCCAAAGAAGGCCAGAATCTCTGTCCCATATCCTGCAAATATCAGAGCACAGAAAATTAAATGGCCATCTAATGTTGAGCTACCTTGATCAGAATTCCATGGAAGACAATATGGTCCACACTGAGCAAAGATAAAACTAGTTGACATGTGGGGGTTGAGGTTGTGGCTCAGTGGTAGAATGCTCATCTAGCATGTGTGAGGTCCTGGATTTGATCCTCAGTACCACATAAAAATAAATAAATAAAACAAATGTATTGTGTCCAACTACAACATGTACATATATATATCCATATATATAACCATATATATATATCCATATATATAACCGTATATATAAATGTATATATATAACCATATATAAATATATATAACCATATAAATAAATGAATATATATATATATAGTTGTTGGGGCTGGGATTGTGGCTCAGTGGTAGAGTGCTTGCCTAGCATGCATGAAGCACTGGATTCGATCCTCAGCACCACATAATATAAAGATATTGTGTCCACCTAAAACTAAAAAATAAATATTAAAAAAAACTAGTTGACATGTATATAGCCCAAATTATGTGCTCCTAAGTGATTTCTACAAACTTATTTCATTACTCATAGCAATGCTATAAGCTGAGTAATAAAGTTATTCCCTTTGACCCAGAAAGTTCAAAAAGCTTACCCACATTCACACAGGTAATCAGTACAAACACTTCAGTGGAAACAAGTAAGTAAGTGGCATTGTTTAGACATGGAAATCAATGTTTTATTTATGGAAAACATTTCTTTAGATTATCATGATGAATTATTAGTGAATACAACCTGAGAACAGGATAGTGAGTAAGTGATCTGCCCTAACTCAAGTGCCTGTACATTCATTCAGTCCTTGGTTATTTTGTATGTTTATTTGCTCTGTGAATTATATAAAGCAGCCTTTCATCTTTGGCCAGCGTTAGTGGATTTTACCTTCATTTTGCAGTGTCATGTTCAGGGAATCAAAATTCATTTTTTGATCTGCCCAGGAAAACCAACTAAGGGAGATTTAAAGAAACCACCTAAGGAGGTTATGCAAAATTGGAGGAGCATGGGAGGATAAGCAATAAGAGAAAGGGCAATTGTCTTGGAGCCAGATCCAGATTCTAGCCCATCTTAATATTTTACATGATATAGTTAACCTTTATTATCTTCAGTTTCCTCATTTGTGAAATGGCAACAAAGATTGAAATCTTGCTGGGTTGTTATGCTGTTTGAAATAATTTAGCACACAACTGCAATGTAACTGAGGTGTTTGAAGTCACACTGCTAGTAAGAAGCAGAGCCAGGGCCTTAGGAGCATAACCATAACTTTATTCCTTGTGTCCAAGTCAAACTTCCAACACCAACGAATTGTGTGTGTGTATTATTCCCTGACACTTAAGTTATTTTCCTTAAAATTGAGAGATGGAAGCATCACACTTTCCTCTTGTTTTGACCATTCAGGGCAAAGAGCTCCAAGAGTCAGTCTGCATTGTCCTGAAATTTTCTTATGGTTTTGGTTTTCACCCTCTTATACTAGCAGAATCTGATTTAAAATTGAAAAAGGATGGGCAAATAATATGTGCATTTATATAAAATTCTGAACTGAATCTATTTAAAGTAGGTTTAAGAGAGGCTAGGGCTCCACCTTCTATTCTCATATAAGCCTCAAACAGAAAAAAAATTCATGTTATAGGTTGTACCTGAATCCATATTATGGCTGTTTTTATTCTTCATTCTCCTTTTCTCTCTCCAAAATTATAAGTTATCCCACAAACTGCTCTATTGCTTTCTGATTCCCCCTAGCACTGGATGTGCATCCTTGGCAATTAATTTAACTGCATTAAGCCTGGTTTTTTTTTTTAATCTGTAAGGATTGTTTTGAGGATCAATGAGATAATCCATTTTGCATGGTGCATGGCATATAGTGAGCACTTCCTAAATACTGGACAATATTAGCAGTAGTCTTCCCTAACCATTTCACTATGCGATCAACTTGAATCTTTAAAACTCTTGTTTCTTTGCTTATTCCTCTAGGAAGGCCTACTATCTGCCAATGTATACAATGGTTATATGATAGGGCTCTCAGTAACTTAATTGATCTAGTGCATATTTGCTTACTTTGATTTCAAGTTCTCAAAGAACTATCTCAGTAAATAAATCTTCAAAGTTGAGACTGGGGTTATGGCTCAGTGGTAGAGCACTTACCTGGCATGTGTGAGTCGTTGGGTTCAATTCTCAATACCATATATAAATAAAATAAAGGTTCATCAGCAATACACACACACACACACACACACACATTTAAAAATCTTAAAAAAGTCTAAGGTCAAATCATGTCTGTTAATCAGCTTTCAACAACAATTTTGGGTCCTAAAGCATTGAGAGCCCCCTCCCATACATCTTTTGCACAAATTCATTGAATAAATGATTGTTTTATTGTTTCATTTACTTATATTGTATCCTTAAGGCATTCAGTTTTCAACCAACTTTTGACTATCTACAGTATGTCAGAAATTGTGATCCTTTATTAGATTATAAAGTCTTCAGATAAGCGGGTCTCTCATTCCTTTGAGTTTCCTGAAAGCCCAGCATAATTCTGGGCTCACTGGAGAATACCTCATAGTTCCACACAACCTCTTATGTCCTTGAAATGTGAATTAAAAAAAAAAACCTTTGGGGGGAGAGTGAATTATCCATTTGTGGTTGAGCTGGCTACTGAGTGACGTCTATTATGAATCGCTTTGCAAAGTGAAGAATCCTTTTGTAAGGCGAAGCATTCCACCTTCTTCATGTATGTTCGCATTCATCATTTTGTAGATTAAGTTGGCTCACAATCTTGCTCACCCTTGCTATAACCGTCGTCGGAACCCAATCTTGAGCTAAAGCGGCCTTCCGCAAGGAGGCGCCCGACAGCCCA